TTCAATATTAGATGTCTATAGTGGCAAGTAATTATATTTAGTCTTTATATTGTCCCATTGATATACTATTTGTTTCTGTGTAAGTAACCATCCTATTTTGATTACAGTTAATCTATAATGTATCTTGAAATCTGTAATGGTACTCTCCAGCACTGTTGGAGTTTTTCAAAATGGCATGGGCCACCCAGGGACTTTTGTGGTTCCAAATGAATTTTAGGGTAGTTTTTCCTTCAATTTCTATGGTTAATGACATGGGAATTTTGATGGGGATTGCATTGAATCTTAAATAGCATTTGATAATGGTTATTTTCACAATATTAACTCTAACCAACCAATGAGCATGGAATGTCATTCTATTTTCCAGTGTCATTTCCAATCTCTTTCTTCAGAGGTTTAAAATTTAACATGTAATGATTTCTTCATAGTTGATGATATTTATCACCTCTTCTTAAATTATATATTTAAATGTCACTTGTTCTATACTTATTTATTACTGTAGAGGTATTTTAAATGTAAGATCGAAACAAGCATATTTGAATTATACATCTATATCTTTTTTTCTTTAAATAGGATGGTAAGTGTAGTGGACAGATGGCTCATAGAATAAGAAGGCTTTCTGTGCAGTTGTGGAAACTGGAGTTCAGTCCCAGAGTACTTGGTGAAGTAGAAGAAAAAAATCAACTTCACAAAGTTGTTCTCTCTCTCCACACACACACACACACACACACACACACACACACACACACACACACACCATGACTCACATGTACACATATATTAATAAAAATTAAAATTAAAAAACCCAATGGTGTTTCAATAATTTGATACACAATTCACACCTGCCACCATCACATAGAGTCGCAGATAAGACTGAAATATGCCACAAAGTGACCAAAATTGCCTGCCAACTTGACACACCCTCACAGTGCAGTAAGGAACTGCATTCACTATGTCTTTCACTTTGTTCATATCTCATACTGCTCACACATAGTCTCTTACAGCTATAAAAATTTATTCACTTTGATAATATAGACATAGTAACATCATGATAGCTGAAAACTTCTCATTGATCATTATTAGTCAAGTGAATAACTTTGAGAAATGGACTAATGTCAACTCTGAGGTGATTGCTAGGAACGGAACGTCTCTCTACTTGCACTCATATGTAGCCCTTGGTATAATTCTCAACAGAGAAATCCCTAAGATATGTCCAAGATAATTATAGACAGGGTTCTCATTTTTTTGAGGACATGAAACAAGTCAAATCACCCATGGGGCAACTTCAGGCAGGGAATATAGGTCAGACTGAGGAGAAGTTCTTCCAAGACACCATCTCTGTATGACATATGACTTCACAAGCACACGGATGAAAATATGATCTTGGAGAAAAACATGAGTTTGGTAAATCATCTCATCTCTCTGAAATTTTTCTCTAAGATCATTCTTGAAGTATTTCTATGTAACTTTTATTAATTCCAATTATATGTGGACTTGAGAAATGTTTCTTTGTCTTCTGTCATTTTAGCAGTCAATTATTAGGTTTTCTCTACCTTTCCTAATCCAACAGCAATTTCTGTGGATAAACATCAGGGCACACACAACCAAAAGGCACACCCTCAGTATTTTAGTGTCTGCATCAGAATATCATCATTTCTTAACTAATGATAAATATAAGCATCAGCCAGCTAACATTGCATAGTAGTTCTCAGTGTTTTAACCAAATGAAGTATTGTTTAATCATAGTGTGTGGTGTATATAAACTAATTTACAGCTAAGAAATAGTAAATGTAATAACAAGTCAAGTGACATTGAGTGTGAATCTGTTAATCTCAGAACTCAGATTAAAGAGTCTACCAGCAAAGAAGACATTATGATCATCTACAGTACCACTCTAAGTCATGAGGACCTATTATCTGGTATTTACTAAAGTGCATAATTCTGACTATATCCACAAATGTTTACAAGAGTACAAAATTTTGACACCATTACAGACTTTAGAACTTTGGTAAAAAAGAAAATGATCTACATGGAAAATATTTAGAAAAAAGAATAAATACTTGATTTGTAGACTGATAAGTATAATTTGGTGTTCTTTTGTTGATTTTTTCATTTGTTTTTATCTAAAAGCCAAAGTTAGCATTTTCTGTGAAAATTGCTACCAATTCAAAGGCAAGAATTACAGATGAAGTAACAGAAGATTCTCTCAAATCTAGGTTCTCTAAAATACTTGTACCGCACCTGAGCAAGGGAAGAAATAGCAAGTCAAGTGAGATTGGGCATAACTCTTCTTCATCTCAGAAATCAGAAAAGGAAACATGAAATGGTTATTAGATTTCTGGAAAGTAATCAGCATGGCTAATACATCCTTTGCATCTACATATCCCGTAGTTACTGAATAGATGTATGTCAATTTGGAGTAAATGTAAGCATCAGGTATTTTAAAGAAATGTGATTGTATGTATTCTCTCTCTCTCTCTCTCTCTCTCTCTCTCTCTCTCTCTCTCTCTTTCTGTGTGTGTGTGTGTGTGTGTGTGTGTGTGTGTATGTCACACACACACTTATCTTAAACATAGTTTCCAGTTGAAAAAGTTTTGTCTAGAATCCTAAAACAGTACAGAAATATTGTTTTAAGATATACATGAAAGTACACAGAAAAGGGCTAATTCCTATGCATCATTTGAATCTAGATACTATAACATCTTGCTTATTTCTCTCTTGTGTTTTTTTACACATTCACAACATAGTATTAAATTAAGTGTTTAATTTTGTAAGTAAAGAAATGTAAACTAATATGTTTAGGGCAAAGCCATTTATTATATCAACTGCTAATGAGAAATCAATCAGATAAGACTTATTTTTAAAAATCTATGCTTGATCTAATAATTGTGTTAAACATTGGTGAATGTTACTAGATTAATGTAACCATTCCTCGACAATTCTGAAAACTTAATTTTAATACTGTCACATTTTATTAGCTAACTTCTTCCTAAGAATGGATATAATCATCTTGCAGGAAATTTGTATCTTAAACACATGAAATATTAAATTTCTATAATCCATGCAAATTACTCTAGAAGACATAAAAGTGGTTTTTGAGGAGCTGTGCTAAATATTTTCAGGATAACAAGGAACTTATTTAGAGGTAGGATTCATATTATAAAAATTTTCATGGAACATGAACTCATATGGCACAATATCAGCATTTTTTCTTAGAGAGTCTAGTAATTTCTAGAAGGTACATATAATTATTTGTAGCATACAAGACTCATCAGTTATCATGCTTCTGTTGCAAATGAATATGTTACCCGATATCTTATTTTCATGCTAACTCCACCCTTCTGAATCCTTATAAAAAACTGAAAGGTGATTATAACTCTGATGACAATGTAAGAGCTTTCATTGACCTCCTCTATTGCCTCAGCACAGTAATTTCAAAGAATAAAACCTACAAATTGAAAATCACCAAGAGAATTACTGAAGGTGGAGGAAAATGGGCAATGACCAGCATTCAGCTTGAGTGTTTTCCATTACAGATCACTATAAGTACTCCACCTGTACTTTGAGGTGAATAACTGCTGTTTATTGAAAGTTCAACTCTACATCCACCCAAGGTTCACAATAAAAGGCACCCTTTGCTTACATGTTTATGTTACTTATTCTCTTCTTTCAAGCAATATAAATGATCAATATGTAAGTGACAAAATAAGAAAGCATATGAGTTAGATGAAATATTGTCCATGTCAGGAAAGTGTAATATTTGAAAATCTATGAATTCTCAAGATTATCAAGGTAAGTTTTTTGACTGCTAAAACTGAATTAAATCTAACTTTCAGAGTTCAGGTTTGAATATGAGTTACCTTGCTCTTTAGTTATCTCTATTACATGTATTTTCAATAATACCTTGCTAATAAGTTTAGCTAAATAAATAAATTCTATGATAAATTTTTGGTAACAAAATATTTTGGTTCTTATTTTTATATATCAGCCTCAAACTGTATTTCTCTTTTTCATTTTTGCATTATTTTCTTTTTATTTTAAAGCAATATTTTCTCATTTTACATACCAATCCTAGTTTGCACTCCCTCCTTTCCTCCTGCACCCCTTCCCCACCCCCATCCTCTCCTCAGTGAGGATAAGCCCTCTCATGGGGTATCAGTGAAGTCTTGCACATCACTTTGAGGCAGGACAAGCATCCCAGCCCCCATATCAAGGCTGAGCAAGGTATCCCTCCAAAAAGACTGGGCTCCAAAAAGCTAGTTCAGGCACTAGGGATAAATTTTGGTCCCACTGCCAGTGGCCCCACAGACTGCCCAAGTCACACAACTGTCACACAACACACATTAGAAGAGCCTAGTTTGGTCCTATGCAGGTTCTCCTGCAGTCCAGAGTCAGTGAGCTCCCATTGGCTCAGGTCAGCTGTTTCTGTGGATATCCCCAAAATGGCCTTTTAAAATGATTTTCTGTATGACTTACCTCCGACAACATTAGTGGATTCATTATACATGGTGCAAAAAGTAGGTTAAGATCTCATCAAAACTTTGTACTGAAATTCAATGTAATTCCTATCAGGTCCAAAATATAAACTTCATTTCTATTATGTAGTGCTATGCTTGCTGGTGGCACATCCAGACCATTTTTTACTAGACTAACGAACAGAAACCACTTTCCAGGTAGAACCACACACATTTTTTTTTATCACACACATTTGTAGATTTTCAAATTTCTGTCCTGCTTCCTCACTGCTGTCCTGTAGAGGTATTTCCTGATTGAGCTTGTGGGTAATACTCACACCTGGTGCTTCTCTTCATGGGGAGTTGAGCTTGGTTCATTCGCTTTCACTTGGGCAGTGATGTTTCTCAAAGTTGACAAAGACTTGTCTTTACATTTAGCTTCTCTATTTAGAGTATAGATGTCAGCTCTCAAAGTGAAGGTCATTTTCCACACCCCTCTAATTGCACTTTCTTCATCTTCAGGTTGTAGCTAAAGACAGCCCGAGTAAAATGGATGAAGGCAATCAAACTGTGGCGACAGAATTTGTGCTTTTGGGACTTACTCATTCCCAGAATCTTCAGCTCATACTCTTTGTGATGTTTCTGATTCTTTATGTTCTCACTGTGTCTGGAAATAGCATTGTCATGTTCTTAATTACCACTGACCGCCATCTCCATTCTCCCATGTACTTCTTTTTGGCCAATCTGTCCTTTATTGATATGTGGCTTTCCTCAGTCACCACTCCTAAGATGATTACAGATTTTCTCAGGGAACCAAAGAGAATTTCATTTGAAGGCTGCATGTGTCAGGTCTTCTTTGACCATTGTGTTGGTGCAGTAGAGATGATGATGTTGGTGGTAATGGCTTATGACCGCTATGTGGCCATCTGCAAACCACTCCACTACTTCACCATTATGAACCTGAAAAGATGCACTGGGTTGGTGTTAGCTTCCTGGACCATTTCCTTTGTGCATGCCATGAGTCAGCTTTTGGCAGTTGTTAAGCTACCTCTCTGTGGCCACATGGAAATTGATAGTTTCTTCTGTGACATACCCCTGATAATCAAGTTATCCTGCACAGATTCCCATGATTTGGATATTTACATGAATGCTAACTGTGGGGCTGTGGTTGTAACCTGCTTCATTCTGTTGCTCATTTCCTACACATACATCCTTATCACTGTTCGCCAGAGCTCTAAAGCTGGTGCATCTAAGGCTCTGTCCACATGCAGTGCCCACATCACAGTGGTGATGATATTTTTTGTTCCCTGCATCTTCATCTATGTGTGGCCCCTCAATATCATCTGGTTGGACAAATTTCTTGCTGTATTTTATACTCTTATTGCACCTTTCCTAAATCCAGTCATTTACACACTGAGAAATAAAGAAATGAAAAATGCTATAAAGAAATTAAAAGGCTACTTCATGAATCACAAGGATAGTACATAATGGCAAGAAAATTCACTGTAAATATTTCAAATAGACAATTCACTGAAATTAGTACAGATTGATAATTTGGGAACTTAGTTTACATGCACAATTAGTTAAGATATTTGATATGTAATCAGCTTAATATAATTTGGAGATTGAATATTTTAATCATATATGATCTTATAAATTATTTGTGATTCTTTTTAATAGCTCTTCCTTATGAGAAAATTATTCAACCGTTTTTATATCTTCAATAAGGTTAAAAAAAGAACATAAATATAGTTCTCAGGTTTATAAGTAGCATTTATTTTGTAAAATTCACTTATACATTGCTCTAATGATATAAAGCCTTCTATTCACTCTTTGGAAAAAGGAAACCTTATTATTTTTACCATATTCCAAAACAGTAAAAGGGGAATATTAAATCTATTAAAGAATAAAATAAAAGTTATAAACTATACACAAATAACAGTGGACTTTATTTAGTTTAGTTTTTATTACCTTAATGACAATGAAATAATTGTATAAACAAACCTAATGATGTTTTTTTCTCAATTATTCAATAATTAAAATTTATCCTGTACATTATTGCTTATTATTTCAATAAATCATGAGCTATAATATTTCTGAGACAGTGACCACAACCTGCCTTGACAATTCTTCATATCAAAATACTTGTTATAGTTAATTATATACATCAGCAATTCTACAAAAGAGAAAGCAGGTCAAGTGTTTCACACTACATTAACATTTATTTGTGAATAAAATTTAAATATGATCTTTGACATTTCAAATATACCTAAATTGTCATTTGAATAATACTATGCATCATAATAATGTACAATACATCTTTTGTTTCTCAAAATGTGATAAAATACAGAAATAACAATAGTAGAAATAATTCCAAAAATGTACATATATATATATATATCTTTTATTCTCTTAATATAGGAAAAATGCAAGAAATGGTAGAATAAATAAAATATATGTTTACCTGTCTGTCTGTCCAAACCCATGAAGTAAGATGTATTATTGCCATAGAGTACATTTATCATTATCTTTAATATTTTAATACTTGAAAAAACTTAGAAATTAAATATTAAATTATTTTGGTAACTAAGACTTGACCTTTTCTATAGTTAAAGAATGAAGAAAATATTTTTTCAATAGCATTCATTTGTTAAGTATCATTGTACAATACACTAAAAAAATTAACTCAGAAATGTAGCTCACGTTAAATGAAATGCCAAAGCACTACTCTTAAGGTTCAGATTGTTTTTAATGATTTATGTGTCATGATTAATGTTCCATTTTTACAATATGTTGTGATTTTTGAACAATTCTGCTATGCATTCTGAACTTTAGATATAAGCACATTTGTCATATAGATAACACTAAGTAACAGATACATATTTGCTTCAATTTTACTTATTTATTATAACTGATAAGTATAAGAACTTAACAATTTATATTTACTATACATTTTATATACTTTTTCCCCATCTGGCATGCTGAGAATGTCATTACAATATGATTGTGTTCTGTATTCCTTAATGTCTAACAAGCCTTAAATCCTAATATAAAAAGAAATTGGTTAGCTCATGATAGCCAAACCATTCTTATAACAGTGGGCTCATCTTGCTTGGCAAATCAGTATGGTATCATGTAAAGCCTAGTGCTGGGCCAGACCCTTAATGCCCTTTCTTTCCCAGTAACCTAAATAACTTCTGGAGAAAGCTAGACAGAAGGAAGGAAGTTTCCAATAACCATAGAAAACGAACTATATTTTTATTTATTCTTCTCTTATACAATACATCCTAACTGCAGGCTCCTGTTCCCTCACTCTTTCCAAACATTATCTCCTCTTCCCCAGGTGTACTGTCCCTCTGTTTCACTTCTGAATACGGGCCTCCAAGAGATACCAACTAAACACAGCATAACAAGATGCAATGAAATTAGGCACAAACTTTCATATCAAGGCTAGATGAGGCAACCAAGGAGGAGGAAAAGGGTCCTGCAAGCAGGTAAAAGAGTCAGCGATGCCACCACTGCCACTGTTAGTCCCACAAAACCCCAAGCTAATCCACAGCATTTATGCAGAGGACCTAGGCTCCGTGAGTGCCCCTTCAGTCTCTGTGAGCCCCTATGAACCCTGCTTAGTTGATTGTGTGGGCCATCTCCTGGTAACCTTGACACTACTTGCTCCTAAAATCATCCCTCCTTTCCTCCTTGTCTTCTATGGGGTTTCCTAAGCTCTGCCCAATGTTTGCCTGTGGGTCCCTGCATCTACCAATAGCTGCTGAAGAAAGCCTCTATGATGATATTCAAGCTAGGCAATGATCCATAAATCCAGCAGAATATCATTAGGAATAATTTCATTGACCTATTTTCCTTTTTCTTTCTTGCTTTGTTTGTTTGTTTGTCAGTCATGCTTGGTTCTACCCTAGGGACATCCAGCTTCCAGTTCCTTGGCCATCCACTAGTCAGGAAGCATCTTGGTTTGGGCCTCAAGTTAGATCAGTCATTGGTTGGTCACTGACACAAGCTCTAAGCTGCCATTGCCCCACCACATCTTACAAGCAGAGAACATTGTGGGTTGAATGTTTTGTGGCTGAGTTTGTGTCCCAGTCCTAGTTCAGGATTCCATTACTAGGAGTCCTTGCTCAGGTTGTCCTCATAAGTTCTAGAAAATTTCCACTACACTGTATTTCCACATAGTCCCCTAAATTCTCAACTATTCCAGTCACCTCTCCCCATACTCTCTTCCTCTGTCTATCCCTCCCCCACATGATCCTTCCTGTTCTCATCCCCAACTGTGCCCAGTCCACCCAAAAAACTTTCTCAGGGAGATCCATGCATCCCCCTAGAGCTGTCCTTGTTACTTAGCTGTTCTAAGTCTGTGGATTGAAGTGTGATTATCCTTCACTTAACAGCCAATATCCACTTATAAGTAAGTACACATCATATTTTGTTCTGGATCTAGGTTTCCTCACTCAGGATATTTTTTTTCTACTTTCGTCTATTTACCTGCAAATTTCATGGTATATTTTTTGTATGCCATTATGTATAAATTTTTTTTTATTCTCTCTTCAGTTGAGGGACATCTAGGTTGTTTCCAGTTTCTGATTCTTATGAATAAAAGCCACTACAAACATAGTTGAGCAAGTATCCTTTTGGTAGAATGCAGCACCTTTTGTGTATACACCCAAGCTGGGTCTTGAATTAGATCAATTCCCAGTTTTCTGAGGAGCCACATCGATTACCAAAGTGACTGTGTGAGTTTGTACTCCCACGCTGAGTGGAGGAGTGTTCTCTTGATCCACACCATCAGCAGCCATTCAGGCAAGTATAAGATAGAATCTCAAAGTAGTTTTGATTTTCATTTCCTGACACCTAAGGATGATAAACATTTCTTTAAGTGTTTCTTAAGCATTTGAGATTCTTCTATTGAGAGAATTCTCTGTTTAGATCTCTACCCCAATGTTTAATTGGATTGTTTGGTTTGTTAATGTCTAGTTTCTTGAGATATATATATATATATATATATATATTATATTAAATCAGTTCTTTATTGGGTATTGAGTAGAAAAACCTCGTCTTGCTACAAGAAAATAAAAAGAGACAAAAATCTATAATTGTGAACCTTGTGACTGAAATTTTGAAAAATGTGAAAGAAACCCATTCCCTGAAGAATTGGGAGTTAGTAAATAGTTGCTTTTCACTAGAAGATAAAACAAAGAAGAGAGAGTTCGGTAATGGAATGTTGGACTGACAGTATTTTTCCTTCTTGGGGTACATAAAGGTTTTCCCAGACCCCATCCTATCATATAATTGGCTACATGATAGGAAGGTGTTCTGAGTAGAGACCAAAACAAAATTTTCTCCTATCAGGGTGGTCATGCAGAAACAAAGAAAAGCCACTAAGGAAGACTTTGGTTCTTTTTACTCACCATCTAGACATTTTTAAACTTTAAATTTCCTAATAACATAGCATACTTAATAACATAATATACAGCAGTGGCTCCCTGAGAAAAGTTTATGCATATACATGCCCATATATATATCATACTAATAACCTAATAGCATATGTCAAGTCTTTAGAAAAGCAAGAACAGGAAAAACACAAAATTGACAGAGTAAAAGAATCCATAAATATTTGAGTTGAAATTAATGAAAATCTACAGAATGAAGGTTGCTTAATGGAAAAATGAGAATGTTTTATAAAACCTTAGCAAAAATATGTAAGATACATTAATAAAATTTAAAAAATAAAGGTGCTATTACAACACAACCATTGAAATTCAGAAGATCACTAGGAGACATTTTTAAATCATATTCTCTAATAGTTATAAAAGTTGAAGTAAATAAACCTATGAAATATGACCTACTAAAATTGAATCAAGAAGAATACCCTTATCAATCATGACATACAAATTGGAGGCAGTAATAAAATTTAATCCAACAAGGACAAACCAGGACCAGATGGATGCAATTCTGAAATCTTCTAGGCTTTTCAAAAGCAATTAATACCAATTTTCCCAAAAATAATCATGTAAAAGATTGAAAGAAAACTATGAATCTTGTTCTACAAATCAAAATTTAACCTGATACTAAATTCAGATAAGTTTATAAAAATAATAGCAGCAAAATTTATATGCCAATTTCTTGATGAACATACACACAAAATTGTTAATATGACCCTTGGGAATAGGGTTCAACAATGATTTGAAAAGAACACGTACCATAATCAAGTTTAATTCATTCCAGAGTTGTTACAACATGAAATTTAATATGTATTATGCAAATGTTATAAAGGATCAATCATTACATAGCCATCTCAAGATTTGGCAAAATTTAGCACAACTTCTAAATAAAAGCTGTCAGGAAATCAGGAATAAAGAGAACATACCTTTCTGGGCAGTGGTAGTGCATGCCTTCAATCCCAGAACCCAGGAGGCAGAGATGAATAGATCTCTGTGAGTTTGAGGCCAGCCTGGTCTACAGAGTGAGTTATGTGA